CCTCCTCTGTCCTCCCCTAGTTACCTGTAGTAATGGCACCTGTTTGACCTTGTTATCAGTATAAAAGACACCTGTCCACAACAGACAATGTGATTTTCTGGATTTTTTTCCCCATTTTGTCTCTCATAGTTGAGGTATACCTATGATGAAAATTACAGGCCTCTCTCATCTTCAGACAATGTGATTTTCTGGATTTTTTTCCCCATTTTGTCTCTCATAGTTGAGGTATACCTATGATGAAAATTACAGGCCTCTCTCATCTTCAGACAATGTGATTTTCTGGATTTTTTTCCCCATTTTGTCTCTCATAGTTGAGGTATACCTATGATGAAAATTACAGGCCTCTCTCATCTTCAGACAATGTGATTTTCTGGATTTTTTTCCCCATTTTGTCTCTCATAGTTGAGGTATACCTATGATGAAAATTACAGGCCTCTCTCATCTTCAGACAATGTGATTTTCTGGATTTTTTTCCCCATTTTGTCTCTCATAGTTGAGGTATACCTATGATGAAAATTACAGGCCTCTCTCATCTTCAGACAATGTGATTTTCTGGATTTTTTTCCCCATTTTGTCTCTCATAGTTGAGGTATACCTATGATGAAAATTACAGGCCTCTCTCATCTTCAGACAATGTGATTTTCTGGATTTTTTTCCCCATTTTGTCTCTCATAGTTGAGGTATACCTATGATGAAAATTACAGGCCTCTCTCATCTTTTTAAGTGGGAGAACTTGAACAATTGGTGGCTGACTAAATACTTTTTTGCCCCACTGTATGTGCTGTATAAAGAAGCATTTTCTTGCCTTTTTAATATCCTTCCAGTCAGCTTCCCTGGATGACACCTGGTCCTAGAATTTTAAGAGAGAAGAAAAAACCTCCATGTGTCCATGCTATATTTCGCTTTATATGCCTTGATCACACACCCCTGTCCAGTCACTCTTTTTCCAAGCTAAACAGCTCCAGATTTTCTGTTTCAAAAGGAAGCTGTTCAAGCCCTCTGCTCATTTTGCATTTTTTAAACTGTTACTTCTTTTTTCAAATACAGCAACCAGAACTGCACACAATATTCTAGATGCGGGTCTAACGTACATTTGTATAAAGACATTGCAGTGTTAGCAGTTTTATTTTCAGTTGCTTTCCTAATGATCCCTAGCATGAAATTTCCCTTTTTCACAGCTGCCACAAAATGAGTTAACACATTCATTGAATTATCCTCTATGACCTTAGGATCCTTTTCCTGAATAGTTACAGACAGTTCAAACTACATCAGTGAATATGTTGAGTTAGGGTTTTGGGTACTGGTATGCATCACTTTACACTTAATCAAATTGAGCTGCATATACCATTTGGTTGACCATTCAGCCAGTTTTAAGAATCTTTCTGGAACTTTTTATAATCACTTTTGGATTTTACCACCTATCTGCAAATTTGGCAGCTAATTTTGCCAAAATCTTGCTTTTATGTCAAGATTACTTGTGGATAATATGAAGCTAAAAAGCATTAATACAAACAAGGTCCTTAAAGGGCTCCTTATTTCCCTCCATTGAGAAAATTACCCATTCTTACTCTTAATTTCTATTTTTTTAACCAGTTATTTTGTTTGTTTATTTACAAGACTTAACTTAGCAATTAGCAATCCATAGATGGACTACATCTGGTTTTCAAACAGCCTTTGACAGTGTCAACAAAGTCACCTCTATCCATTTGCTTGTTGATATTCTGAAAAATCTCTGTAAAGATGGTAAGAATTTACCTATGCAAAATCCATGCTAATTTTCCTTTACCAGAGCATATTCTTTCATATATTTACTTTGTCCTTCGTTTACCATTTCTGTCCATTTGAACAGAACAGATGTTAAGTGGACTGGCCTATAATTTCCCAAATCTCCCTTGGATCACCTTTTAAAAAGTTGTGCGTCATATTGCATACACTTTGGCACTGAGCCTGCTTGAGAGACAGGTCACGTATTTTTGCTAGATGGTCAGCAATTTCGTATTTGAGTTTTTAAGAACTCCCAGGTGGATGCCATCATGACTTGTTGATTTGTTACTATGTAATCTCTCAAAGTATTGTTGACTATTACTAAATTTTTCTCAGTTGAAACAAATTTCTGCAAAGTTAGTACAGAGGTGTCTATTATACATCTTTTTATTATAGAATAGAGACAAAGAATTCATCCAGTTTTTCGTTACCTCCGTATCCTCCTTGAGCATATCTTTCTATCCTTTGATGTCTAACTGCCCAATAACTTCTGTGACTAGTGTTCTGTGTCAATTTAGGATTTTATCATTTCTCTTTAATCTTTTTTGGAGATATGCTCCTCTAATAATAATAGTAATTCTCCTCCTTTCTTATTATCACACCTTTTCTTCCAGAATTTGGCCTCTTTTTTCTTCATTAGGATAGGCTTTCCATTTCCTGAAGGAAGCCATCTTAAATTACACAGTTTCCCAGATAGGACAAGAGAATCATGCTGGCTTCTTCCTAGACTTGGTTTACTCTTTCTTACACTGTAGCCACTTATCATGTTGGTTGGGAAAACTAATTAGGTAGTCTGAGAAAACATCAGATTCGGAGAACTTTGCTAGGGATAGTTGTTAGAAATATTTCAGAACATTTCAGTGGATTATGCTTGTACCCAGAAGAAAACAACCCTGTTACCAGCGCTATTGCATTTTGCTCTTTGAAGGAAGAACATCTACAATAAAGAGTAGATAACCAAAAAAAAAAAAAACCAGGCAAATGTTTAATTCTAAGCTGATGTTTCCTTTCAGTTCTTCGGTAGTTAGAATTGTAATTTTG